CAAGACAAGAGTCTTCTGGCCGGATAACAATATACAACTGGCACCCAGTGTCGTGCCCAAGATAAATACACTCTACTCTAGAGTTGTTAAACAAGGGAAATATCACCTAGTGATATTTTGAAGTTCTTTAGACTCTGAACACAGAGGGACTTCCGTGAGTTCAAAGTTTCTCAAGTTATTGAATCCCTTCAATAACTTGAGCAATACTTCTAGGATCACCTCCTGAAAAAACAGTGAAGTCTTCAAAAGAACTTCTACAAATAACAAAAGCAATGATTCAATTAGAGAAATATACAATGTCTAATGGAAGAGGACAAGGACTCTATTTATCTGATTGATGAAGGATTGATAATTTGCTTAAATGTAATGATGATGATGGATTTTCCTGGCGGGTCAGAGAGCTCTTTATATACTCAAAAACCCTGAAAATCCTTTATGTACAACTTGTGGTTTGATTACATACTCATTTGACGTATGTAATCATGAATTTTTAATTATTTAATGATTATTTGATTACGCACATGTGTAACTCTTGTGTTACTCATGTGATGCTCACTTGTGAAAGGCATTCTTACATAATGCAACCTTTTGGTTACATTTACATGTATGTAAATATGTAATTTCATATGTAACTATATGTAATTACATATGTACTTGGCTCTTGAAACTGAGCCATGAGTTGTAATTATTATTTTTGTTATTTTATAGTTATTTAGGCAGCCCTTTGGTACTAGTAATAGGGCTCAGGGCTGACACATATCACAGATGAAGTCCAGTTCTCATATGGTTTACAGCTTTTAGGTCAAGTAATTGACGAGATGGGTAAATCTTCCACTAGTGTTGGACTTAGTAGTGACTTGATGGAAGCGATGAACAATCTTCCAATAGCCGGACTTATTGGATGTAGAAGTAGTGATGTCAAACCTGAAGATAGCAGACTTATTTATAACTAGCAGGCACCGTCACTAAATGATAAGCAGAATGCTATATTGCATGCTGTTCAGGAAGGTCACCAAAACGACATGCAAATGATCCACTTCTTAGACGGCCCAGGTGGAACAGGGAAGACGTATACGCTTAATACGATTCTTCACTATTTCAACAGGCATGTTGGCAAACCTGTCAGTGTATCATCTTTGGGAGTTTCAGCCATCCTACTCCTGGGCGGTTCCACTGCGCACTACACGTTCAACATACCAATCCCGCCAGATTCAGCTGCGGCTTGTGATTTAAACGGACGCTGCAAGAAGAGTTTAAGGATCATTGGCGCTTCTATCATAGTCTGGGATGAGATCACGATGCAAAATAAGTTTGACGTAGAGGCAGTGGATAGGGCCTTAAGGCACATTTGTAAGATTGACAAACCTTTTGGAGGTAAAAGTATAATTTTTTCCGGTGATTTCAGGCATTTTTTACCTGTACTTTGATATGGATCGCTCAATGAACAGGAGGGTGCGTGTTTGAAAGTGTCTTCTATCTGGTTGCACGTTCAACAATTCAAGCTCAAGGTTAATTGTTGGTTGCAAAGTTTGGAGGGCAATGAAGAAATTGAACACAAAGAATTTGCATTGTGGCTGTTGAAGCTAGGTGAAGGCAAGTTGCAAGAGACGAATAAGGCAATGGTCTCAATTCAAAATGTCCATGTCGAGACGGTTCCACCATTCACACCGGTCCACCACAAGCTCATTGATTGGGTCTACGATGACATTTTTCAATTCACAGGGAGAAACGATTGGGACAAAATATGTGATTATTATCATCAGCTGACGTTGATTACACCACTAAATGAGACAGTCAGGGAGATAAATCACGCAATGTTAAACAAACTACCCGGAGATCCTTTTATCTCAGTATTGTGAGATGAACCAGATCCGACTTTCAACGAACCTACCTCGCTTGATATTATTAATTCCATTGCCTTTGTTGGTCTTCCGGAACATCGGTTGAGCTTGAAAATAGGGCAGCCAATCATGCTGATGCAAAACTTGTCCTTAGGTTCTGGGTTATGAAACGGGACACGGATGATTATAATGTCCGTTACACCTCAAGTTTTACGCCACATGATTACCTCCAACTAAATCTGCAACCACCCCCCGAAAGCCCAAAACCATGACACATGGATTCAGCCTTCCGGCGGGTTTTTGCAGATTTAGTCAGAGCTCGCGTTAGACTCACTTTTTACGGTGTAGTCGGGGCTTGACGTCCATGCCGATTCCTCCTTCATTGGGCCCCTCTATTTATGCTATTTTTTTTAACCGTGTGCTTTTAATATTTGTGCTTTTTATTACTATCAATTTGCTCCATCCATTTTGTGCTATGTGCTTTCAATACATGCACTTTTCATTAAGATGCTTTTGCAATTATTATTTCGATCCCAAACTGTGTCTTTTCAATATTTGTGCTTTTCATTACAACCAATTGTCGTGCTATGTGCTTTCAACATGTGCGCTTTTCATTACAAAGCTTTTGCTATTATGGATTCCATATTATATCGTGGTTTGTTAACTTATGTGCTTTTCTCTACAATCAACTTGGTGTTTTGATATTGTCATATGCCATTTCAATACATGCCTTTGTCATTTCTTCATTTTGTTATTGTTGCTTCAACCGTAGTTTTGTGGATGCTGAGACCTGGATGTCCACACCAATCGTGCTATCATGTGGCCTTTCTACTGGTGCTATTCTTGTATTCTTGTGCTTTTTAATTTTTTGCTTTTCTTTGCAACGATATTGCTTTATCTCCGGTGTGCTATGTGCTTTCAACGTATGCGTTTCCGATTACAATGTCCCATTATTATTCCTTCAATTATTCACCTTTTTCTTTCGCTAAATTCTCCTTTTGCGTCAGTTTCGTGCTTTTCGTTTCTCGATGTTTGTCTTTTACTTATTCCTCCGTAGCGTTGATCCCCTGCTTCTTACCTTTTTCTCCGCTGGACATATTCCACTTACCGTATGCATCAGTGAATAATTATTACACTACACATATCGTCTCGCTTTATTTTGCGCGTATATATTCATGCTCCCTTTAACCTAATCCGTTATTGGAATTTCATAACAATCAATATTTTTACAGCAAGAAACTTATCTTTTTAATCTTCCTATTGCCTGTATATTATTTTATCTTAATCCGTTACATTGCCATCTATAGCCAACATACTTTATCAACGATAATTTTAATTGTTTTTTCTAAATTTTCTTTCTCTTTCCTTTTCTGTCTTGTCATTGTATATGATTATCATCTTTTCCAGTATCAATTTTATTAATATTACCTTTCTCGTTTTATGATAAGCGTAATCTTTTCCTCTTCCTTCTACTATACACTCATCAATTTTCCTCTTTTACAAATGGCCCTCTTTAGGATCCTTTTCTGTCCCTTTCATGTCTCTGTGTATGCGTTATCATGTTGTTTTCCTATAAATTGTACCTTCGTTTCAGCTTTGACCTCTGTCTCATCACCAAGCTTCCCATCTATACTTTTTCTTACCTTCACTCGCACTGATCCTCTATCCTCGAATCGTATCTCCTTTCGCTTTCTCAACACCTATATTTTGTCATTTTTCATTGGAATAATCCAACAACCGCTAGATTTTGTTCGTTCAGTCCATTACAATTTCATTCACCCTTTCGGCTGAATTTATCAACTCATCTCTGCTTCGGCCCACATTGGATTGCTATACCTCTTTAGCTTTGAATACGCTCAAGTCTTTTATAGGATGGTGTCAGTAGAATCCCTTGATTCCGCAGATTTTCCTGGGTTCGGAATCGTTAACTGGAAAACCATTTCATCGGTTCAAGACCCCGTAGACAATATGCTCTTGGCAAGCCTCCTTGTAGACTTCATTCGTGGTGAGCTTCGCGTACATATCCACTTTTACGTCCTGTCTAATTTCATGTTTCCTAGACTCCCGCGGAAAACCCAGGCCAGTCATACAATCGGGCTGTATCAACAATGTTTCTCTAGGTAGAAACTATTGCTTCACAATTACTTTGCAACACCATAACTTTCCCGAGGTTAGAGTGTCTCAAATATAGTAAGTTTAAAGTGATCCTTGATTGTTCTTCTACAATTTTATTTTCACGTATGGCTACATGTACTAAAAAACCATTCGCGATCTTTTCTCCTTGCTTCCAATCATTCTCCTTC